CCCCGCCCCCCAGGCTCCGCCCCCGCGCCCACCTGGACGCCGCACCACTCGCAGCGCACGCCCGCCAGCACGTCGGAGGAGCCGCACGTCTTCCTGCAGACCTCGCAGCGCGCACCCGAGGGCAGGTTCCCCTCCCGCCAGTGGTGGAGGTACGTGTCCTGGGGAGGGGGCGGTCAGCGCTCGGCCCGGCCCCGCCCCCCAGGCCCGCGCCAGCATCCCGGCACCTGCGCACTCACGTGGTCCTGGTGCCCGTCCTGGTGGCACCGGCGGCAGTCACTGCAGGCGAAGGGCACACAGTCGGGGTGAACGTGCAGCTCACACACTGGGGGGCGGGCAGGGTTAGGGGCCTCTCGTGGTGCCGCCGCCACCCTCCTCGTCAGCCCCGGCCCCCCCTGCCCCTCCGACGTGGGACTCGGCACTCACCGCCCCTGCAGCCTCAGCCCCCCAGGCCCGCCCACTGCCTCCCTCCCCTCACCCCTGAGACAGGGGAGGGCCGGAGACCAGGGTCCTGGGCGAGGGGCTCAGACCCGGGGGCCGGTGTGCTCCGGCCTACCTTCGCAGCGGAGCGCGGGCGCCTCCAGGCCTTTGCGGCAGACCGCGCAGAACTTGCGCTTGTAGAGTCCCCGGAGGCCGAAGCAGTGGGCCACCGGAACCTGGCAGGACAGAGCCCGGCCTCAGACCCGGCGGCACCCTCCCCCACTGGGCCTGCAGGGGCCTGCCACCACACGCCCGCCTTGCACAGTCCTTGAGGGACAACACAGGGCTGCCGGGCCCTAACTGCTCGGGCAGCACGGGTCACCCCGCGCCATCTTCCCTGGACAGCTCTGAGCTCAGGCCTCTGCTGGCGACTCCTCTGCCCTGATGTGGCAGCAGGAGCACTGGCAGCAACCTCACTCCCAGGTCTGGGGCAGCCTGGCTGATCAAGGACGGGAGAGCGTCCACCTGCCATCCACACGTCCCTCCCTGGGCTACTTGAGGCTGCGTTAACTACCAGGCATCTGTCTCCTCAGATCCAAGGGCTCCCAGCGCACCCCCAGACTGCCCTGTGGGAGGCAATTAGGCCACAAGGAGTGTAACGTGCGTGCGTGCCAGCACGCTGCCTTTCCATGAGAAGGGACAGGAGCGGGCTCAAGTCTTCACTCCCACTACTCTTGTCTCTACTCCAAACTTAAGTTAAAATATGCACATAACAGAACAAACAGAAAAATCGTATACTAGAACGGTAACTATGGAGATGCCAGAATGGTGGGCGATTTTTATCTTCTCTTTAAATATCTATATCTCCTAACTGTTCCATAATGCATCAACTTGAAGTACATATTTGTACTTTTTTAATTTAGTAAGGTAGAAAGAAAACATGAAAATCAACTTTTGAAAACTGCAGCCTCAGGATATCCACATGAGGAGGGACCACCTGGCTGATGTGGCATCCTGAGGGTTAGGGACGCCGCCAGGAGCCAGCGTCCTCCAGCCCTTCTGTGTGCACACCCGGTAATCAAGTCCTTCCCCAGACACATCCTCAAACATTACAAGGCAGACGCCACAGCAGGAAACCAGGTTAAGCAGCAGGTGAATCTGCTGGCCTGGCTTCCCTCACCTGCCCGCACACACCACCTCTCGTGGCAGATCCTGCCTTGAACTACACCCAGCTCTGCACCAACACCAGTGGGTTCCACTGCCCAGCACCCTGCCTGCAGCCTGGGCCGTCCAGGAGAGGGGTGGGCGGCAAGGTGGACCCTCAGTGCAGAGGCCAGGCTGGCGAGGAACAAGCACAGCCCCTGACACCGTCAGCCCTCCCTGAACGTCACCACCACTGCCCCCCACAGAAGGGAAGTCCCTTCACCCTCTGCCCAGTTCCCCCAAATGGTAACATCTTGTAAACCTCAGTCACTGTCACAGCCCGGACACCAACACTGGTGCAGTCAAGCCATGGAAATCTCCGTCCCCACCAGATCCCTCAGGCTGCCCTTCTACAGCCACACCCACTTCTGAACCCCTGGAGACCTCTCGTCTGTGCTCCCTCTAGTTCTGTCGTTTCAAAAATGTTCTACGGACAGGGTTTTGCAGTACATAACCTTAGGGATCGGCTTCTCTCAGCACAGTTCCCTGGAGATCCATCCACGGCTCTCCATGCATCAAGAGCTAGTTCCTTTTTATCGCTGAGCAGTATTCCATCCTTGGCTTTTTAACCACGAGTGTAACTAAACTGGCAGCATGGACAGCCAGTGTCTCCTCGACCCAAGAGCCAGCACTCCCACCCCGCGCTCACCCGGACCAGGCTGGGCGCAGCACTCGCACACGGGGTCCTCACATGCTTCAGGCACTTCTCGTGGGACATGAAGTTGCAGACTGTGGGAACGAGAGCCGCATGAGTTGGCCCCAATCCTGCCTAACAGCCCCGTCCCACCCAGGTAGTAAGAGACCCCAGGGCTCAGCCTTGGCCAGCAGGACCACCGAGGGCCACGTCAGGAAGCCAGCATCCTGCAATAGGGCACAGGTGCCCACCATAGCAGCACCCACTGCCAGAGCTGGTGGGGTGGTTCCTGCACTGGGCAGCCCCACCCACTGTGCAAGTAGTGGGGAGAGTGATTCTTGCTATCCCCACTGTCATGGGAGGGGGGGGGGGGGGCAGGAGGAGGGCATAGCGACAGCCGCAGTGCCAGGCAGCACCATAGGCACTGTGATCCTCCACATTCCCCACTCCCATCGGAGAGAGACCACAGCCAGTGAGCAAGGGGATGCTGGCTCTAACCATCCTGGAGGACGATGAGTGTGTCCTCTCATTTTGGGAGTGGCCCAGCACTCAGGAGCATTCAGGCCCAGCTCTTCTTCTGCCTCTGTAGCTGGCCCTCTGCAAGGCACAGCCCTGAGGCTCACCACCCAGGCGGGCAGGGGGCTTTGCAAGTTCCTGCATCTCCGTACATCCCTCCAAAGCAACTATGCCAGGGACATCCTTCCCTCACTCCCAACACTGCATACACCCCTAATTACCCCTGCCACATGCCAGGGATTGTGCCTGAGACCCAGAACCACCCGAAGCAGGTAGGGCCACTGGCCAGGTGAAGGCTCCAGAAGGCAGGAGCTGCAGGAAGTGTAGGCAGCCCCCAGCCTCAAAGGCAATGAGCACTTAAACCCTGGCTGGGTGCGAGGGCCTGGGGCAGCACCTCAGCCAGAGGGTACTCAGGAAGCTATTGGAGTGGTAAGTGGCACACTGCACCCATCCTCGGGGAGGACGCCCCCACCCCCACCCCGGGCCTTGGCAGGAACAAAGCCTCATTAGTGAGATGCACAGGAGGGTGGAGAGATGCACAGGAAAATGGCACACCCAGCAGGGTGGGCCAGGACAGCAGGACAGGGAGAGGGGGCCTGGGCTGGGCCCCCAGAGGTGGACCAGGATGGATGAGGCTACAGGGAGCTGGCAGGTGGGCAGGAGGCAGAAGGATACACCTGCAAAGAGAGCCATGGAGAAAACTATGCCCACAGCAGCCTCAAGGCAGCCCAGCCTCGGACTGGCAGCTCCCCCAGAAGGCCCCCAGCTGGCACTGCCACATGGTGCCCCACCTCTCTGCTGAAGCCCAACCATCCCAGTCCCTAGGAAGGGATGGACAGAAGTTCCTCCACGGGCTGCTCTAGAGGAAAGTTCTGTAAGTAGGCTTTGGCCCAACAAGAGAAGTGGGGAGACAGGAGGGGCAGCCTTGCCCATGGCATCTCCCCAGGGCACTACCACTAGCGCTGCCGCGGGAGGCTGCGGTTGTGGGCAGGGGTGTACTGCTTCCTCCTCTGCCTGAGGAGATAGTGCCTGTTCACACACCCCATGTCTTGCTGTTCCCTGGAGAGGGAGGGGGCTCTCCTTCCTACACACTGCCGGGTCCCTCTGCTAGCTCAGATCCTGGCCCACTCTCCATGGACGCTGCCTGGAAAGGGCGTCTGCATCATCTCCTAAGCACCAGGCCAGACTGTTTCCATGAGCTGCTCTACCCCAGGACCATGCTGAGGGTTCCTGAGCTCGCTCAGACCTGCACGGGGTCTTACCTGTGAGGGGGGACCAGGAGTCTAGTCTACAACTTTTAATTCTGACTTCATCTCTCTCACCTGTACAGGGATCCTAGATCTAGCCTCAGACCTGGAGCTCTGCCTTCTGCACCTTTCACTTGTGCAGCGAATCCAGTGATTTAGTCTCATACCTGGAACCCTACTTTCACCACCTCTCCCGCATGAACAAGGTCCCAGGGTCTAACCTCAGACACCTAGAGCTCCACCTCAGTGGAAACCAACCCCTAGGCCATGCCACCTGGCCAGGCCACTTCATGCAGCCCTGGGGGTTAGGATGACCACACGATTTCCACCGCAGAAGGCATCCCCGTGTGAGGGGCCTAGTCCCCTCTACAGGCCTCAGCCTGAGTGGTCCCTCAGCCCCCAACAAAGGCCAGTCTCCCTCCCTGAGCAGGGCAGAGGCTCCTCAGCCTCCTGCCAACTCCACATCCTTGGCCAGGACACAGTAAAGGTCAAACGTCCATGCCCTCCACACAAACACTCCGATCCTGTCCCCGGTTTCCTCCACAGAGGCTGGGCTGGTCCCCAGGTCTGCCTGCTTGCAGGAGGGAGGAGGAACAGCAGAGAGCCAGCCGTGAAAGCACTGAAAGCCAGAGGTGGGGAGGGCCGTCCTTGCCTCCGCCTGGCTGGATCGGCAGCTGGGCGGGAGCCTGGGGGCCGTGTTGGGACACGCCGCACCTGGGATGACAGGGCCCGGCCTGGCTCCTCGCGCGGCTGAGCCTGGGCAGCGCCAGCACTCAGGACAGGAATGACCAAGGCCAGGGCACCGGGGCCAGGGGGCCAGGCCAGCCCTGCTTGACCACAACTGCTGCCTCGGCTGCTAGGAGAGGAAGCCAGACGCGGGACCCCAGGAGACGACCCGTTTGCCTTTGGGACCGCTGGCTTCCCGCTCAGACACTGCAGCTTCCCCCACCGCCCGGGGAGGAAGCGCTGAGACCCCACAGCCACGAGGGGCAGGTCCTGGGGACAGGGCTGGGGCGACCCCGCCCTCCACCTCCCCCGGAAGGCTCTGGGCCCTGCGCGCTCCTGCCCTGGGGCAGGGGCCCGGGCCTGGAGAGGCGTCGTTCAAGAAGCGGAGCTGAAGGTGCGGCGAGCGGCCCGGGTGGGAGACCCGGGCCAGACGGTGGGGTCTGCGAGGGGCGCGGGGCTCACCGTCGCACAGGAAGCCGGCCAGCCCCCAGATGAAGTCGGAGCAAAGGTGGCAGAAGGTGGGCTTGGTGAGCGTCACCTTCCGGAAGCTGTGGCCCGGCGCGGCGGCGGGGCCCGGGGCTCTGGCGCCCGCCCGCTCCAGCCCCGGCCCC